CAATCTGGGTGGATGCTTTGGTGATATGATTGTAAAGGATTGGAGAGCAAAATGATTGAATGTGGGCTTTTTTTGGGCAACATGTGCATTGCATGCCGGTTGACTGACAGTCCTTTCAAGAGCTCAAGGCTGTCATAAAGGTTAAAGCAGTTCCCATATATTCCTTACTAGATACAAAACCAGAAAACTGTGTGCCGAGACGTACATGGAGAAAGATTTATATTGAGGCAATAGATTCCATATTAGGGGAGTCTAATGTGTTTCTTTTTGTGTGGTTAGAGAGGTTATCAGTGACTCAATTTTACCTGTGCTAGGAATAATGGCACTCAATCAATGCAGGCAGAAAATTAAAACAGGTAGAGATGTTTATGTTTTGCACTGCAGCTCAATTCGACTGCATTGTGTTCTTGGACAAGACAGGTTACTCTCACTGTGTCTCCCTCCACCCAGAACAGCATTGCCTTGGTCAGGGAAAAGTCAGGGAAAATTAGATTTTACTAGAAGTTTTTGTATAGGCAAGGCAACTTTGTTTTTAAAATTATCTGAGCCATCCTTATTTTTGTTGATTCATGGCCGGAATAGTCATCCTGCAGGGTCAGTGAAAATGGCTTTACAGTCAGAGAAAAGTTAGGGAAAAGTCAGGGATTTTTTTTTTTGTTCTAGTAGGTGGCAACCCTGCAGAAATACAAATGGGTACTGGGTGAATTTCATACTGGGGCTAACCTTGCAACAGACTGGCATCCCATTTAAATTAAGGTGGCTGGTGGGGGAGTAGAAAGATGCCTTATCAATTGATGCTACAGAAATTGGTATAAGGTGCAGTAGTTTGGATCACTTGGCCTGGTGAAGACTTAACATGGACTNCCCCCCCCCAGTAGGGTTGAAACTTTAAAAATTTGATGACTTATTTTTACTTGTGTAGTTTGTACTACTTAAGAGATCAAGGAATTAAAAAAACTATTAAAAGGTCAAAGCATTATTTTGCAGTTTCGTACTAGGTGCAAAACAGAGAAGCAAGGAAAAGAGCATGTGCTGAGACTCAAGAGGAGAAAATCAAATTGGGACATTGGATCTCATAGGAGGTCAGTTACAGTCTATCGATGTTTGGTATTGTGTATCTAGGGATAATTTTGCACAAAATACATGTAATATGTAGGCAAAAAATTAAAACGAATAGAGATGTTATTGTTCCACTACTGTTCAGCTATTTCAACAAACTGGTTGTGTGTATAATGCGATGATCAATCTTGTCGTCATATTTTTGCAGGCAGTTCAAATATGTGATCTTTCATATAATTCAGTAGTATTCAACATCTACGGGTATATTACAAAATCACAAAGTGTCCAACTCCCAGTTGGCTTGACAGCTTAGTTGGTGGAGCATTGCACCGTTATCGCACAGGTCATGGGTTCAGATCCCGTTCAAGCCTGAATTTTTTTTTCAGGCTTTATTTATTTCACAACTGCTTAAGTTGTTTGTACAACTGCGATGATCAACCATGTCTTTGAACCGGTGTTACAGTGTGGCCATATAGCTTAGCACTTTAGGGGTACGGTGTACAAAAATTCTTCAAGACTACAATGCCTGGGGTGCTGTTGTTGAGGAGTATTTTTTTTTTGTGGGAGGGTTTTTACTGTGATCTGGACTGCACATCAAGCAGTCAGGATTGGAGCCCATGGTTAGGGTCTCTGCATTGTGTTCTTTGGCAAGACACTACTCTCAAACTATCTCTCTCCATATAGGAGTACAAATGGGTACTGGGTGAACTTAATACTGTGTACTAACCCTGTGACACACTACCATCCCATCCAGGCGGAATAATGCCTTATCATTTAATGCATCAGAGACCTAAATAAGCTGTGATGACTTAGATCACTTGGCCTGATGCAGCCTTGACCTTACATTCATTGTCGAAACTTCCCCCTGTAGGGTTGAAAAGGAAAAAAAATCTGATGGTTTAATTTTAGCTGTGTAGGTTTTAAAATTAAGAGATAAAGGATGAAATAAAGGTTAAGGCATTTCTTTATTCGTACTAGGCACAAGACAGAAAAAAA